AGAATCAAGGCTACAGAGATTTCTCAACATCAACAAAACTTGTGGAAGAAATTTTACCAACAAGACACTAGAAATGAAAAAAATATGTTCTTTAATAATGTTGGGACTTATTTTGAGTGACGTTTTAAAATGCTGATATGGAAACTTTTGTTATATATTATTTTACTGCCAAAAATTAATTTACATTTTACCCAGTAAGACTAGTGTCATAGAACTTGGAATTGCATAAAACTTTAAGTCATCCTGTGACAGATGGTCATTACTGTGGATGGCCAAAAATTGACTAGAGCAAAAAGATAGGAGTCTCTAACAAGAAGATAAGTGTTAGGTTACAGATTAGGCTATAAGTAACCTCTTCAGAGAAAGCATGCCAGCCACATGGTGTATTTACAAAACCTTTTTGCTTGCTACCTTTTCTAGACCTGGCCCAGTCTGCATTCTATGCTTATGCATTATTTCCAAAACTAGGTCCCACAGAGATTCACTGTCACCTGCATTCACTTGGGCTGAAGACATTATATCCTTGGTTTTCCTTGGGCATTATACCTAATTAAGTCATAGAACTTGTATCAGGACTGAGAGAAGATGTGTCCCTTTTAACAATAGAGGCTGAAGTGAGTGGATTGCCTGAGCCCACGGGTTCGAGATCCGCCTGGGCAACTTGGCGAGACCTCATCTCTTCTACAATAAATCAAAAAATTAGCCGTGCGTGGTAGCATGCGCCTGTAGTTCCAGCTACTTGGAAGGCTGAGGCAGAAGGATCGCCGGAGCCCAGCAGGTCGAGGCTCCAGTGGCCGGGAGTATGCCACTGCCCTCCAGTCTGGGCGACAGAGTGAGACTCTAACTCAAAGAAACCCAACAAAACCAATAGAAAGAGCTCATGTTTTTCCATCCTCCCCACTTGTGTAAGCCAACTGAATCAGACAATTAAGACATACAGGCATTTGGATCAGAGGCCTGTGGTTGTATGGACCTGATATGGACTAAAAAGCAAGCAGAGGCACCAGTTGTTCATCTCATCTAATCCCCCATTCATGGTCAAAAGATAGGTATTTCTTTGGAGGGATGAGGTTGGTTATGGGAACTGTGTTAGTAACTCTTCGTGGATTATTTATTAACGGCTCCTGGACTCATTCAGGAGAGAAACCAAGGAGCAGAGTTTTAAAGCACTATCTGAGTAAACTAGGTATTCATCACAGCCAATAGTACCAACTTGGGTAGACTCACCTATTTTTATAATCTCTTCCCCTTGCTTCTGTCATTAAAATGAAGAAGTGTCTTTCATCACTGGTCCATACCACCTAAAGTTGTCAAATCATAGTCTGAGAAAATTGACTTTTTTCCTAAAACTTTTTTGGATAGTTATAAAAATGTTCTTTTCCTTTTTAAAAACTCAACTTCAAAGCAAGGGCTTATTATTACTTATTTTTTCTTAAATTTTTTTAGAGACAGTGTCTTACTTGGTTGCCTAGCCTGGAATGCAGTGGTGTGATCATAGCTCACTGCAGCCTCAAACTCCTGGACTCAGGTGATCCTCCCTTCACAGCCTCCCAAATAGCTAGGATTACAAGTGCACACTACTACACCTGTCTAATTTTTTTTTTAATTTTTTTTCTTGTAGAGATAGGCCCTTGCTATGTTACCTGGGCAGCTCTTAGTCTTCTGGCCTCATGTGATCCTCCTGCCCTGGCTTCTCAAAGTGTTGGGATTATAGGTGTGAGCCACCGCACCTGGCTCAGGGCCTTACTCTTCAGTGGTTCATTTGCTTTTTGTTTTTGTTTCATCTCTAAGTAAAGTTAAGTAACAAGCTAAAAGATGACGGCATTTGTTATATACAAGGTTTTTAAGTAATCATCACAGTTCCTATAGCTTAGGTGAGATATAGCTCATGTGCTTATTCATCATCCATTTAACTACCTCTATGCTGGGAACCCTCTGCTTTATTTTGGAATACTGTATTAGAAGTTTTTCCTTATTTGGCCAAAATCTTGTCTAAAACTTTTATACAGGAGTCTAGTTCTGCTGTTCAGCCTCACATAGAATGTCTGATTTTTTAACAATTGTTTTACTATAAAATAAAAACATAGATATAGGAAACTACTAAACTGATTTCTATTTACTTATTTTTTGTTTACAAATCCTTGTGTCGAGGGCTGACTTTCCATAGATCGCAGCGAGGGAGCTGCTCTGCCACATACGAAACCCCCACCCAGAAGCAGGTCGTCTACGTATGGTTTAGCACCAGGTTCCCCACAAACGTGCGGTGCATGATGGGCAAGGGGGCGGCCGCCTTTCTGCTGTGCCCGGTGTCCTGGGACGAGAGGCCTTCCGCACCGGACCTCGGTCCGGACGCGCGGGAGCGGGTAAAGCGGGGCGTCGCACCATGGGGACAGGCCATCCCACCGGCAGGGACCTTGGGGAACCGACTATCTGAAGCCAACCGAAGCTCCATGGGGCTGCTATATTGTTCCACCTAGGCGGGATTCTGACGTAGAGGCGTGTAGTCATAATAAACTAATTTTTAGTAACCGATTCTTTTCATTTTTTGTAGTTTAATCACGCAAATGTTCATCCTTGAACATATAACTTAATCTTGCCTATTTTGTTTTGATGATATGTTTTAAGTCTCTTAATCTACAGGTTACAGTATCCAGGCCATTTAACCCATAAGGTTTCCTGTGATCTGGGTTTTACTGAGGCTTATTCTCAGCGCAATTCAGCATGTCCTCTATTCTGTATTACCTGAATATTGGCAGCTGGATTCTGAGGCTCAGTCAGACTCTATTTGATCCCTGTGGCAAGATTAGAAATGATATTATGTTCTTTTTCCATGAGGCACCTACTGTCTAGTTGATTTTCTTTTTATGACTTAGTAGCTATTGATTTCAAGACCTAGATCTGTTCATCCATTGGGGTTGCAAAATGGTAATAGTTTAGTTTTATCAAAACTTTTCATTTAGTGTTTGGAATATTTTATAAAGAAACACTATCCCTCATTTATTGTTTGGTTACAAATACTATTTGATTACTCTTTGGTGCAGTTCATATAGGAAAAATTAAGGAAAAATTACACCTGAATTTTGATCCAGTTAAGTCTGGCAGTTTAATTGGCGACAACTATCTTAACATAATGACCCTCCAGAACGTTTTATAAGGTAAATGATTGAATTAACTATTGTAACTCCCTTAGTAAATCTTTTTACTAGACATCCCCAAATCCCTTAATAATTTTCTATATATCTCTGCTTTCAAACCTTTGCTATCCTGGATGCTATTCTGAGTTCTCTATGTAATAGTTTCTTAGTGTTCCTTTTAACATCGCCAATTAAAAGGAGGCAGCTCCAAATCAGTTGCTATGGAATGATCCTCAAGATACAATGCTATGTGGAAAAGCAAAATATATGTTATACAATATGTCTATACTAAATTCTAGCAATGAGGGAGTGCATTGAGTATATTACTTTCCTTGACCTATTATTTCAAAAAGGAATGGTTTTCAGTCTTAAATTCTTCACTTTTAATTTATTTTTCTACCCTTATCTTGTGTACGATTGTCTTAACTTTTTAGTTCACAAAGTCCTCTTTGGTAGTAGTCACGGCTTATATACCTTAAGCATTCCATGTATTTCCTTTTTTGCTGTTGTTGTTCAGAGGAAAAACAAGAATACAGATATAAAGAAAGGTATTTCTTTTGTAACCATTATTTCCCAGCAGACAATTGTAGTCTAATATGAAATGACTTTGATTTAAGACTTGTAGCTAAGTCACAAGGCTGCTAAGAGTCTGGAAACCTCCTTATTGTGTTTGCCACTTGCTCAATCTTTTGAAAAAGTCTCCTCTGAAATCTATTCATATTATAATTCAAGTTAGCCTTGAAGAGATTCCTGTCAAGTGTAGTTACAGATTAGCAGTCTTTTCTCCATTGCTTAAAGCACATGTGGTAGTGGAATTAAGACCCTTGTTAAACAGCTGCTGCCAATGACTTCAAAGTGACAGCTAGCCAGAATTGACAGTTACAGTAATTGCTATGTTAATGTGGCAAATTTGAAACATTAATAAAGTTTGTCTCAATATTAGTTGCTTTATAGATATTGAACTGTCGGGCTTTAGGCTTTATTGCCTTCATACATTTTCTAGTCGGTTATATATAAAATACTATTTATTGTTGACTGTCTCAAACATAAAATTCAGGTATGGGAGAAATGTTTTCACAAAGATATGTTATTGGTATAGTATTTTGTATGTTCTGTGCACAGAAATGTGAGCTTATATGCCAGATAAGGGAATGAGCTTTCATATTAACATGATAAGCTTTTAGTTAAATGTATGTCATACTTACTTTTGTTGCTATTCAAACATTTGCTTGTTTGCTTCCCAACTCTACTACTTTCTAAATATGCCGTATGTACAGAATCTCTGTCATTTCCTTACTTTTATTGTCAAAAGTAAAAAGTCTATTGCATCAGACCAATTAATGCCATCATTTATGTACTTTGCCTTTGAAGGTCTGCTAGCCTTTGAAGCCTTATGAAGTTTCAAGTCTGTTTTGTTTTAGAAGTCAGGAAATTGCGTAGAAGTAAGAACTGTAAAATCAGTCCTTTTTTGACAACATGATATTTAGAAACCTTTAGGCTGTAATATACGTGACATTGTACCCTGTTACTGAGATCTTTTGAAATCTCTTATGACATTTTTCAGTTTTGCTAGCCTTCAGTGATTTGAGAAATCAGAAAATTTTTCAAAAAAAGTTCTAGACAAAAGTTACATGAGCATTGCCTCAAGTGGAGTGTGAATGGTATGTTGAAAAAAGAGATCCAAAATTTTTAATGCTCAAGTTTATTTGTAATATTAAAAAATGGAATTATTGAAAAAAGATATAATAGAATTTCTCCCCAAATAAGATGGGAACTATATGAAAATTTATGTCCATTGATGATGAGAATAGATGAGCATATGAACATTACTTAACATAGTAACACTTTCTGCATTTCTAACTTTAGGTGATGGAATATGAGAATAGGATTCGAGCCTACTCCACACCAGACAAAATCTTCCGATATTTTGCCACCTTGAAAGTCATCAATGAACCTGGTGAAACAGAAGTGTTTATGACTCCACAGGATTTTGTGCGATCCATAACACCTAATGAAAAACAACCAGAACGTAAGTTGCTAAAGTAAAGAATAAGCATGTTATAGGTTACTTTGTTTCTTCCTGTGTATTGCCTAAATCTTATAGGTCCATGTAATAATTGTATTCACTGTGCAACTATTGAACTTGAGGCATTGTGCCAGGCTTTATTTTATTTTATTTTATTTTATAGATAAACAGTTTTTTATTCATCATTCTCCTCTTCTTCTTACTTCTCATCTTCTTCGGCTTTCTCTTCTACCTTTTCCAGGCAACTTTAGTGGGACCCTTTGCACCATCAAACGTTCCTTTAGACTTACAGTCGGCAACATCCTTCTTGTACTTCTTCTTCAACTTCACTGCCTTAGTGATGTAAGGCTGCTTATCACTATTGCCTAAGTTATTCCACATCTCACCCAACTTTTTTGTCAGCATCTCCAATAGAGATGCCAGGGTTTGTGGGTTTGCTCTTGGGGCGAAATTCTGAACAGAACAGGAAGAATTCAGACAGTTTTCCTTTGGAGGCATTAGGGTCCTTCTTCTTCTTGCCTTCCTTAGCTGGTCCATAATTCTTCATTTTCCAGTCGTAGCGTACTTTATCTGCCTTTATCATTTCGTCAAATTTAGCCAGACACTGTCTTCTGTCTCTCAGAGCACTTCTTGGAAAAGTCTGCAAAATTGACAGGAACCTCTAGATTTTTCTTCCTATGTTGATGTTCTCTGCACGTATGCTCAAAAAAGGCATAGGCAGGCATCTTGCCCTTTGGTTTCATAGGGTCAATTTTAGCCATCCTGACTGTATTGTTCACTAGTCTGGGCAGCGCAGGGCATGATGTGTGGCCTGTGCCAGGCTTTAGATGTACAAGAAAGGTCTACAGTCTAACATGGCAATCCTCAACCAGGGTGAGGAGACTGTGCCCCTCCAGTTGAGACTCATTGCCTGTAATGAGAATGTTCCTGAGGGCAATGCATTATACATGTAACTGCTATCAAGGCATTCTTTAGTGAGGGAGATCAAGACAGTAACAGGTAATTTCAGGAATGCGTTGATTTGTAAAAGAATATTATGCAGAAGACTAATGGCAGTATAAAGAATAAGTACGTAGCTCAATCTGCACATTTGAAGAATTACTTCTAGAAAATACATCTAAGTTTGAATAAAAGTTAGACAAGCAAAGAATAGTGGAAAGGATGTCTCATGTAGAAGAAATAGCCTGAACGAAGTTTATAGAAAGAAAATAAATGACTTAATATTATAAGTTAAATGTAACAACTTAATATATTTGGAAGACGTGGGAAAAATGATGGTGTAGAAGGCTCTAAGAATCAGTCCTTCAACTGAAGCAACCATTGGGCTGGCAGAAACGGACAGAATCAACTTTTTTGGCACTCTGCAATCTAATAAAAAACTTATACAACAAGGGGAGTGATTAATAAAGAAAGAGGCTGCTAAATTTTGATACAAAAGTGTCGTATAAAACATGCTTACCCACCTACCATGCCTTATTTCCCAGCTCAGTAGCGGCCACAGGGACAGCAGCTATATTCTTAGTGTGGCTTACAATTGTGGGAAGGGAAGAACATACAGATATTATTCTAAAAAATTGTGGTTGTGTGTTTTGATTTGACTGACAGCTCCCTGAGGTACTAGCACAACATCTTGCCTTTGTCTTACCCATCTAGGGCTTGAGTGGCTTCCTAGTATCATCTACTGAAAAAAAAATATTAAAGACATATATAGCCTGCTCTTTGTATCTGTGAGCTCCCATCCATGAATTCAACTAGCCACAGATTGAAATATTCAGGGGAAAAAAGTGATCATTGTATCTGAAATGAACATGTACAGACTTTTTTTTGTCATCATTCCTTAAGCAATATAGAAAAAAGCTATTTACGTATATATAGCAATAAAGCGAGACCTTATCTGTACAAAAAAAGTCAATAAATTAACTAGGTTTGGTGGTCTGTACCTTTAGTTCTAGCTGCTTAGGAAATTGAAGAAGGAGGATTACTTGAACCCAAGAGATCGAGGCTGCAGTGAGCCATGATCGTGCCACTGTACCCCAACTTGGGCAACAGAGTGAGATCCCAAATAAAAAAGAAAGAAAGAAAGAAAATAAACTTCTTTAGAGAATGTGTAAGGAAGGCATGCTGAAAGGGATGGTATTTGAGTTGGGTTTTGAAAAGTGGATCACTCTTCATATATGTGAGAGTGAAAAGACATTATTCAGAGTGAGTAAATTGTGTGATGAAATAGCATGAAATAGCAAAGTGAGCTCAGAAAACCAAAAACGTTTGTGTCATTTTCTACCAGAGATTTTATAATGTTTTGCCCACATTAACATTCATACATTTCTAGGACAAATAAAAACTAGGCAGGACCATCACCCCTCCAAAATGTGTGATATTAGCTGAATATCTGAAACCTTTGGTTGTGAAAATTTTCAAACATAAAAAATAGAGGAAATAATAAATTAACCCATACCTACACATCACCTAGCTTCAACAGTTATACAAGGAGACCCCAAAAACCTGGAATTATTTTTTCAGAGGGCGGGTCCCTTGTAGTACAGGCTTCTTCAGCTAGATGAGTGTTCTAAGAACCCGTTGGCATCAGTGTACCAGCTAGTGTTGTTCCGAGAGACTGAATTTGGCTTCAGTGAATTTTTGTTTTTTTAGAGTCTTTCAACGTGTTGCTTATTTCATGATGGGTGATTTACACGAATAACCTGCCTATACCATATTGAGTGTTCAGCATTTTTTGACCAATAATGGCGTGGCCGCTGTTCTTCACCCTCCCTATTCATCCAGTCTAGCCCTGAGTGACTTTTTTTTGTTTCTCCGGATGAAAAAAAATCCTCAAAGGGAAACAGCTTGTCAGTGTGGAAGAGGTGAAACAAAAAAATGACAGAAGCACTAGAAGAAGGCATCAAAATGATGAGTTCAAAAACCGTCTTGAGCTGTGGAAAAGGCATCTTGATAGATGTATTGCATCAAATGGCATGTACTTTGAAGGTAACTGAAGCTTAAATATGTAAGAATAAAGAAACAATTTTTTAGCCGAACTCAGTGACTCAGCCTGTAATCCTGAGCCTTGGGGAGGCTGAGGTGAGTGGATTGCCTGAGCCTGTGGGTTCGAGACCCGCCTGAGCAACTTGGCGAGACCACATCTCTACAATAAATCAAAAATTAGCCGGGTGTGGTAGCACGCGCCTCTAGTTCCAGCTACTCGGAAGGCTGAGGCGGAAGGATCGCCGGAGCCCAGCAGGTCGAGGCTGCGGTGGCCGGGAGCGGCCACTGCACTCCAGTCTGGGCAACAGAGTGAGACTCCAACTCCAAAAAACTGCTG